AAAGAGGAAAAAGAATGCCTTTCCCATTTTTCAGCATTTATTCTTGATGTGCTTACTTTTTAAAGCATGTAACAGTGTCCTGGACAATGCAGAGGCCCACGATTCCATATGTACATATTTACTGGGAAAAATGTGATGACTAGAGAAACATCTGGCCCTAGTATAAAGAAGAAGAATAACCTGAAGGTGGTGACTGTCATGTTTGCTATTTGCAATTTATCAGATTGTGAAAACTACCCAAATTGATTTTGAGAAAGTGGCCCCTAATAGATTTTCCCTATTTATAGAAACATCTGATTGAATGATTCAAAATACCTGTTGTGTGTTGGATCTCCTTGACAGTTAAAATCTTTCCAGAGTTGATTGACAATTAAGAATGCCTTGCTAATCCATTTTGAGTTGAAGGGCTGAAAGGGATTTTATAGAATTAAAACACTCAGCAGTGTCAAGCTATTGAATACCAGTATAATACAGAGAGCTCTTTTATTAATACCTCTGAACACTGGCAGGCTGAAGCCGCATCAGTCGAAGTAATGGGCTTAACATTCAGAATGGATTTTTGGGCACAGGCAAGATACTAGGGCTGTCAATAATGGCAAGATCACTGAGTGTGGCCCGTATTTGTATTGTTTAATAAGCTCTGACAGAAGTAGCAGGGTTTTTTTTGGGTGGGTGGGTGGGTTATTTAATCAGGTACTGCTGTATATGAAATATGAGGGTGCCGGGAAGGCGGTTACCACTTTCCCTGCTCAAAAAGATGCAGTGCTTGTGAAGATCCAGCAAAGGGAAGCTGTAGCAGTGCTGTTTAGGTGGTGTCTGTGGGTAGTTAGAATAGGCAGACGGAAAAAAGGGCGAGGATTAAAACTGAGGTGTTTTGGACAGCTCTGAGAAGGAATGTATCGTGTGCGAAGGATGCTGTTTTTAACCTGAAAAATCTTTTCTCTTTTTTTTTTTTTTTTTCATTAAAGAAACAGAATTAATTCATGCAGCAAAAGTATATCGAGACGACCGTCTCCGAAAGAAAGCAGACTCCATGTCCATGGACAACTGCAAAGAACTAGAACGGCTGACCAGCCTCTATCGAGGAGGATGAACTACAATCATACATGTACATCTTTACGTATGCCGTTCTCTCTCTTGTAAATTAAGAAGAGATTTAGTTTTACCATGAATGCTGGAAAAGAGGGGTGGATGTAAAACTCTACTGTGTAGCTGTTTCCAGAAACCTTATGCTGAAATATCATTTAACGGCTTCTTGACCTACTGTGAAATATAGGTAACTCTAATTGTCTAGATTTTACTTCCAAGCTTCTGTGAATTCTTTCAGCAGAGAGAATAGCTCAGAGAGGATGCTATACTTGTAGAGACTTAGTCATAGTGGTTCTCCTCTAACATATTTGCCATGTAAATATCTGTGGAAAGAACACTTTGTGTATATACAAGTTAAATGACTTTCTATTTAAAATCTCAGAAATTTAGTTCCATACAACATTTTGTCTCACTGATGGAATAAATAGTATGGTTACATCACTCCTATTCAGATGTCAAGTGTGTGGAGTTGAAACAAGAATTTTTAATATTTTATCTCTAACTCTATGTAAAATCTTCTAGGTTTACCAGCTTAGAGGAACTCGGTATTTTTAAATATAATGGCATATATTCCTAAATATCTGTTGGGGTATATTGATTTGGTGTAGAGTAGCAGTTAGCTGTTGTAGTTTTTTAGCATTTCTAAGCAATGCTGAGAAAATGAAGAACTACGCTAATCTCTTTTCAAAGTGAATATTTGCAAATGCTGTACAGACCATTATAAGCATTGCTTTTAGTACTCGCAACAGTTTACAGCAGCTCTACCATTTGGCATTCCAGTAGTAGTAAGTCCATATGTATGGTTAACATGCATCCATAGCTTCTTAATTTTCACTGGAAAGGTAGAGGAAAACATGCAATAGTGAAACTTTAAAGCTCAAAAAAAAAGAAAAAAAAAAAGGTGACCTAATTTTTTTTCCTGGGAGGCTTCCATTTTCTTACTATTTTTTTATTTCAAGCTAGGTCCCAACACTGATTCCTCAATAATGGGCACCACAGGTGGGACAGGGAAATACTGCTAAGGACAAGCTATTGTGCCTTTTGACACTTTTGCCAACTATTTAAATGCTTTGCTAGTTTGCAGCGTGCTCCTGTGGCCAGAGCCATATCGCTTGCCCGCTTGCCCCCGGGGCGCGGAAGAGGTAGGGTGTGCATTTCTCTGGACCAGAACGTTGCTGGACTGACTTTCTAGAAATGAGCAAGCGAACTGTTTGGCTCCTTACATACAAGATCGTGTAACTTGGTGGCCTGTACGTGGAAACTATACATAGCCACACCTGCTGATGCAAAGAGGTGTTTCGAAGCAGCTAAGTACAATGTACTTGAAGTTTATCGACAG